AAAATAAGAGTGTGTAAAATAAAACCTTTTGTTTGTTGTTTTTTTCCTTCTTTAAAAGCCTTTATTGAGCCAGTAAAACCCTCCCTTTATTCCATTCACCCCCTGGCCAAAATACACTTCACAATCCCAACATAAACACCCACAAAGAGCCAAAACCATGACCCACCTCCAGCCCCTACTTCCTGCCCATGTTTCCCTCACAATAACCCAAAGCCATAATACCCAGCCCTGTCCCCTTTTATTGGCCAAAACATCCCCCCATTTTACCCAAATAATAGCCACAAAAAAACCCAGGAAACAACCACAAGGAACCAAAACACAAACCCCCACAACACCAGCCCCATCCCTGAATTTTATCCCATTAAGGAGACATGTTTGAATGAAGAATGCCCCATGCTTTGAGAGAGGATGTTGCTAGGAAGCTTCCTCATATTCACATTCATTGCATTGTGTATTATTTCCCCCTTCCCCCTGCCTATATAAATCAGGCCCTATGGCCAAATGTAACACACCTTTAAATATTGAAAACCTTTTACTCTTTGAGTATTATTAAAATAGTGTGATGCTATTTTAGCCAAATTCCTAATTCTATATCTTAAGAGTGGTTATCTTAAGTGTGAGTTTTAGGTTCTAGATATTTGATTAAGTGTGTCATATCTTAATTAAATTCTAGATTCAAACCCCAAGTTAAGATAAGAGTGTGTAATATCTCTTAAGCACCAACTTGGTTTATCCATCCCTGATTTTCTTCCATTTCTTATCTCTCCCATTTCTCCTCTTAACCTTACTCTTTTCTTCTATTAAAATACCCCAAAAAGAACTCCTTCATCATCCTCATATTTCCCAGCCATTCCCCCACACAAAACACCCTTCTTCTTGCCCAGACTTCCGCCCAATAATCGATTATCCTTAGTGACAATCGATTATCAGTCACCGTTGAAACACCTACAACCCATTATAGTCGATTATCCTTTCTGGACAATCGATTATCACGTCCCCCAGAAATCCTGCAGTCTCTAACAATCGATTGTCTCCTTCTGCCAGTCGACTATCAGCCCCTCCTGAAATCCTGAGGAATTCTTCTAAGAAACTGAAGCACCTGTTAATCGATTATCACGATTGTGTCAATCGACTATCTGGCCGTCCTGAAGATTAAAGGCTGTTCTAGTTTGCTTCCTATTCCTCCGTAATCCCGCCCTCAAATTATCTAAATGATAAGACCCCAGTCTCAGGTATAACATCTGGTATCATAGCTTGTTGTTCCACATCCCTCAAGGGGCCAAAACACCATCTCCTACATTTTCTATTTTGAAACATTTCTCACATCATCCAAGATATGTCTCAATATGATGTAGTTGCTGCCCAAGAAAAGTTAAAGAAGGAAGTTGAGCTTATGATGAAACAAGTCAAGGAGCTCACTAATTCAGTGGAGATTCCCACGTTTGAAGGAAGAAATGACCCGGAGAAGTTCTCAAGGTGGTTAGAAAAAGTTGAAGACGTCTTTACGCTCAAAGACGTACCCAAAGACAAGAAGGTCAAGCTAGTGGTGGCAAAGTTTCAAAGACATGCCTCTACGTGGTGGGCTAGCGTTGCTTCAAAACGAAAGCTCCAAGGCAAGGCTAAGGTGAGAACTTGGGAAAAGTTAAGAAAACTCTTAATTAAGAGATTTTCTCCCAAAGATCATCTCCACCAGGTACTTGAACATACTCTCCCTTTCTCACCCAATACTCTTTCTAAAGTCATACCACCTTCCCCACAACAAAAGCCACTCCATATTGCCCTCTCTCCCACAACCTTAACCTCCTCTAAAACCCGATCTTCGCAGACTTCTCACACTACCCAAATCATTTCCGAAGCCACCACCATCTGCAACACCCAAACTCCCTCTAAAGTCCCCTCTTTACCTTGCATCCATGCTGTCCGAAACGTCTCTCACCCAACTCCCTCACACCTACCCAAAGTTCCGACTAAAACAACCTCTTTACCTTCCTTAGCCACTGCCCATATTCACCCCAACACCTTCTCCACACCTCTGCCCCAAAACTCCTCAAAACCCATCAATGTTCCATCCCTAGCTACTGCCCAAAATGGTCCAAATACCCATTTAGCACCCCTGCCCCAAAAGTCCTCACAAACCATCTC